CACTCAACCTCAACATCGCTCACTGTTCACCACACCAGGTTGGCTTGAAATCTGAGGACAGATGACGTTGGCTCTGGGAGTCATCAATGTAGGGGCCAGGCAGGGTGAGGTGGACTGGGGAAATGCCTTTTCAGGGTGACATTTTCAACCTCTTTCTGTTCTCATGGTTTACATAAAGTGATTTCTCAGAGTATTCTCAGCAGCTGAATGAGAATCCTTATTGAACACCAACAATAAGGATGACCTCTAAAGACAGAGATTCAGGCTAAATCATAGATTTCACAGGTTTTGAGGTCCATGGCCAGTTTTAGCTACCTTAGCTGGTCATCTCTGTGACTTGTCATAGTTATTGACCCTGGTCAGGTGCGGTGGCCCATGTCTATAATCCCAGCAACTCCAGAGGCTGAGGCAGGAGCATCTCAAGTCCAAGCAATTTAGAGAAACACTATTTCAAAATTTTTTAAAAAATATATTAAAAGGACTGAGGATATGGCTCAGTGGTTAAGCACCCCTGGATTTAATTCCTGGTACCACAAAAACAAAACAAAATAAACAACAACAACAACAGGGAGTTCTCACCAAATTAGAGTGTGCAGTTTCTTGGCAGGGGCAAGGGGTGGGGCAGGGGTGCAGTATGCACTCCTTTCCATTTATAAAAAAGATTCTGAGTTGTTAGAAAGTCTTGTCTATGACACGTTCTGGTGCCAAAGCTTTCTACGCAGCAATCTAAAGACAGTCAAATGAAGGACAGGGCAGGGGCTCTCACCACCATACTGTCTCCAACTCCCAGACTCACCCTCCCTTTCAGGTTCCTGCCTGGTGATTTCTCCAAAATACTCAGGAACTAAATCCTGATTATCCTTGGTTTTGAATCCTTACCGTGTGCCTGGCCTCATGTTCTATATACATTTCCGCATTATCCTCACAATGCATTTGCAACATACACATTGTCATTATCAGAATTTTATAGGCGATAAGAATGGTCTTCAAATTTTAAATAACCCCACCCCAGGTCATAGCTGGCAAGTGATGGAGGGAGCCAGGCTTCAAAGATGTCTCTTAACTCCAAAGCCCGCACACTTAATCAGCAAAGTGAGAAAGGAGGACTTAGCCCAATTGACCAAGGGTGCTCTGGAGCACAACAGAGAAAACATAGAAAGCTGAAAACTTGACCTTCATAGAGAGCTAGACCAAGCCAGATCTAAAGGCATAGGAACTTATATTTTTAAAGGAGATTTCCATATACAAGGTAAGCAATTTATCAGCACATAGATAATCCATTGAATCCCAATGGAAAACAGAAACTGGGAAGATCTCTCTTGGAAGGCTCTTGGGCCTGGACAGGAAACTGAGAAGCAAATGAAAATATGAGGGGCTGCTACGGCTTAGCTGTGTCTCACGGGGGTTCATGTATTGGAGGCTCAGTCCCAACTGCTTCAGGGTTGAGGTGATGGAAACCTTAGGGGGGCCCAGTGGAAGGTAATGGGGTCATGGGAGCACTACTCGCAGAGAGATGAAAGGTCTTCTCACAGAATGAGTTGGCTCTTAAGAGAACAGATTGTTATAAAGAGAGGTCACCCCATGCTCTTGGTCCCTTCTGCACAATGGCTGGTTCTCTCCGCTTCTTTGTGATAAAGTAACACGACCCAAAGGTCCCTTACCAGTATGCCAGGGCCATGTCCTTGGATTTCCAGAACTATAAGCTAAATAAGCCTGTTTTCTTTATCATGTTCCCAGCCTCAGATATTTTGTTATAACAACAGAAAACATAATAAGACAGAGGGATACTAAAAAGTTCCCCCAGAACTCAAAGTTTTGTTGTGGTAAACTGAATTGCCCAAGAGAACTCAAAATCAAAGATGATTGAAAAAAGATAATTGAAAGCAACATAGTTCACAATAGCCAAATTGTGGAACCAACCTAGATGCCCTTCAGTAGATGGGCAGATAGGGAAACTTCATATATATACACACAAGGGAATATTACTCAGCATTAAAAGAGAATAAAATCTTGGCATTTGCAGGTAAATGGATAGAGTTGGAGAATATCATGCTAAGCAAAGTAAGCCAGTCCCCAAAATACCAAAGGCCAAATGTTCTCTCTGATAAGTGGATGCTGATCCATAATGGTAAGGGGGCGGCATGGGAAAAATAGAGGAACTTTGACTGGGCTAAGTGAAGTAAGCCAATCCCCAAAAAACCGAATGCCAAATGTTTTCTCTGATAGGAGGATATTGATCCATAATGGGGCTGTGGGGGGGAGCATGGGAGGAATGGAGGAACTTTAGATAGGGCAAAGGGGAGGGAGGGAGGGGAGAGGACAGGGGGCGGGTATAAAAGACGGTAGAATGAGATGGACATCAGTACCCTAAGTACATGTATGAAGACATGAACAGTGTGACTCTACTTTGTGTACAACCAGAGACATAAAAAGTTGTGCTCTATATATGTGTAGTACGAATTGAAATGCATTCTGCTGTCATATATAACAAATTAGAATAAATAAGTAAAATTTTTAGAATATTTCCATTTAGCATGTAATATAAACCCATAAACAAGTTCTGGTAATGTTTGATTCTGTGTCAGTAAATAGCATGCAGAAGATCTTTTCAGTCCAAACTAAACAGAACAAAACAACAAGAAGCCCATATGCATGACTGTTAATCACTTCAAAAATTTGATTAAAGCCATATAACATTTAAAAAAAAAAAAAAAAAACAAGATGATTGAAGGGCTGGCAAGGTAGCTCAGTAGAGATCACTTATCCAACATGTGCGAGGCCCTAGGTTCGATTAAATTAAAGAGGGGGGCCAAAAGAAAACATAAATATAAAAAAGATGACTGAAGATGGGAAAACTTACAAGAACAAATTTTTTGGTATCATCTTTGAAAATGTGTAAGTGGTATGCTTAGAAGTAATCATAGATGAGTTTTCATTAATAGTAAAATAATCAAATCTGCAGTTATCCTAATATTTTGAAATATTTTGAAGGAAAATATTGCCATTGCCAGTGACCTCTTGGTCCTGTTCCTTAAAGCATCACGATCATCAGGGTATGCAGATTACCATACACAGAAGTCATAAGAAATGGCCACATGCCCATTTGTTATCTATAGAAATAACATATGCTTAAAAAATGATAAGATGTTAATGATGGTATTATTAACTGGGTTCACAACTAGTTTGTAGTGGGACGTACAGGACACCAAAGAGTTTAAGATAGTTTGATGGACTATATGGAAAATCAGAATATTTTATGTTGGTAAGAGATAACAAAGAAACCTGGCTCCTTCTGTTTCTAAAAATAGAACCACAGTCTGTACTCAATAGTGAGTGAGTTAGATCCCATTGACAAAGGCTCCAACCTCAGCTCAGATGGAATGGAAAACCAATCCCATATCACCAAGAAGCCAAATGCTATCAGGAGCATTCCCCAGAACACATGCAGTGACCGCAAACAAGTAGATTTGGGTTTGCAGAGCAATATATTATCTTATTCTCTTTGTGCTGCTATAACAAAATGCCACAGAATGGTTAATTTATAAACAACAGACATTTATACTAGAAGTATAGAGTACTAGAAGTATTCACAGTACTAGAAGTTAGAAATTCGAGATCAAGGTGCCAGCAAGCTCTGTGTCTGACAAGCTAGTGCCTTGCTGCTTCCTGTAGAGTGGAGGGATGTTGCAACCCTAACTTGATGGGAGAGATGGGAGGGGTGAATTCAGTCCCTCAAGCCCTTTTATAAGCACAACTCCATTCAGAAGGGCGGGGCCTAATCACCTCCTTATTCGATGGCGTGGTTCTCACTCCCTGCTTCCCTTTCTCTCAGGCTTCCTTCAGTCCCAATTTGCCTTTTACCTGTTCTCTAGATGCCACAGGCCAAGTAGCTGTTGGCTTGTATGTGCTGATTGGTACTGTGTTTGTATGGGGGGGCAGGGTCAGTGTGTGTATGTGTTTGTGTTCTGTGGTCTGAATGTGTTTTCCCAAATTCATAAGTTGACATTTAATCCCTAAGGTAGCATTAGGAGGTGATTGGGCCTTGAGGGCTCCGCCCCTGTGAATAGATTAGTGCCTTATAAAGGCTCAAAGGAAAGAGTTCACCACTTGGCACCCTCTCACCAAGTAAGGGTGTGGCTCAGGGGTGCAGTGCTTGCCTCCAAGGCTCCATGCCTTGGTTCTAGCACCACAAAAGAACAAGTAACTAAACAAACGGTGGTACACTCAATCCAAGGATCAGTACGCAGCTGTTATGGTGTAGATATTAGGTGTCCCCCAAAAGCGCATGTGTAAGACAACGCAAGAAGATTTAGAGAAGGAATGATTGGATTAAGAGAGCCTTAACCCAATCAGTGAATTAATCCCCTGTGGATTTGGATTAACAGAGTGGAGACTGAAGGCAGGTAGGATGTGGCTGGAAGAGGTGCGTTATTGGGGGCTGCCTTTGGGGTGTATATTTTGTATCTGGCAAGTGGAATCTTCCTCTCTGCTTTCTGATCATCATGTGAGCCACTTCCCTCTGCCACACTCTTCCGCCATGATGTTTCGCCTCATGTTGAGCCCTGAGGAATGAAGCCCCCCAAAATAAACTTTGTCTCCTCTACAGTTGTTCTAGTCAAGTCTTTTAGTTACAGCAGCATAAAAAAAAAAAAAAAGCTGACTACAACAGCAGCACTCCAAAGGAGTAAAGTGGATCCAGATAGAACAACATGGAGAGGTCTCAGGGTCATTCTGCTGAGAGACAAAGCAAGTGGGCAGAATAATTCCATGCAATTTGCATATCATCTTTCCTCACCAATAAAAAAATAATTTTTTTTATAGTTTTATATTTACTTACAGATCAAGGTATATCAGGCTACACATCAAATTGAAAACCTAAGTTTCTCTAGAGAGAAAGAGGACCCTGGGATTTTGGCTAGGGCTTAAAGACTTTGGGTTTTACTACGAATTATGATTTGTTTATAAGAACAATAAATGTATGTTTATAAAATAAGACTTACTTTAAGGTGTATAAATCAGATCTGTCTTCTCTAACAAGAGATCCTCCTTGGGCTGGGGTTGTGGCTCAGTGGTAGAGCGCTCACCTCGAATGTGCGAGGCCCTGGGTTCGATCCTCGGCACCACATAAAAATAATAAACAAAATAAAGGTATTATGTTCAACTATAACTAAAAAAAATAAATATTAAAAAACAAAGAGAAGGGGAGGGGAGGGGAGGGGGGATAGTAGAGGATAGGAAAGGCAGCAGAATACAACAGACACTAGTATGGCAATATGTAAATCAATGGATGTGTAACTGATGTGATTCTGCAATCGGTATATGGGGTAAAAATGGGAGCTCATAACCCACTTGAATCAAATTGTGAAATATGATATATCAAGAACTATGTAATGTTTTGAACAGCCAACAATAAAAAATTTAAAAAAATAAATAAATAAATAAATAAATAAATAAACTTGGCTAAAAAAAAAAAAAAACAAAACAAAGAGATTCACCCACCCACCACTGCCAACATCCATTTAAAAAAAAACAAAACAAAACAAAAACTCTCCTTAGCCCCAGGAACAACTTCAACTTCACTCGTGACATAATTTCTCTGTTCATTTACTTGTTCAGCAAATATTTTTCATGGTCCTACTATGTGCAAGCCCTATTTCATAAACTCTTTGCTCAACGCAGAGCTTCCTGTTGTAGTTTCTACATTCCCTGATCCTTCTCACCACTCATCTCTTAACCCCAAGTTCTTGTCCACCAGGGATCAACTCAGGTTTCCAGACTTCCACCCCAACCCCAGCCAGCACTGAAGGAATCATCCCTCCAGGACCTCAGCTCTTCCTCAATAAATATTGACCTACCTATCAGCCTCTGGGCCATTTACCTCTCTTCAATTACTCCAGTACTGACTGGAGCATTATCAAGTCCACAGAGGCTAGGAATGAGGAGGAGTATCCCAAAACTCACTGTAGAAAAGCACAGAGTGAAAAATAAATCCCCATCTGAAAAACGGCCCCCACCCCTTGGAAGATATAGAAACCGGATTGCTGTTCTGAGGCTTGGAGTTGCTGACTCCCAACCACACATCCTTAGGTTCTGCTCTGGCTGCAGCTGGAAAGGAAGGAGACATTTGACACTAATGAGGTTTGGTTCTTGTCTCAGCTTCATATCATTTCTGCCAATGAACACTCTCCAGCCAAGCTCTGCTTCACTCTTCCTTGATTTTTTTCAAAAAAAAAGGTGTGTGGCTCTTGCACTTGAAGCCCAGTTTCTATTAATTTTCCTTTCTCTAGTCTGCCTCCAAAACAAAAGAAAGAAAGAAAAAGTTTAAAAAGCAGAAGCAAAATTCCAAACTGCCTGTTAGTGGTGGTTTAGCGAGTGGCAAGTTTCTCCCAGGGAGAGAAAATATGTGGGTAAAGGGTTAAATATTAACGTGCTTCCCTGGACGGTCCTTTCTGCCCTGTTAATGGAACCCAAGTGCAAACCTTGGCAGGAATCGAACATTAGCTCATGACAGGTGTAGGCTTCATGCTGGCTGCTGCTGTATTTCCAGCATTAAAAAAAAAAAATCGGGGACATGGGGACCACTCCATGACACAGTAGGCTGGAACAGATTGCTTTGCAGAGATCTCTTCTGGCTGAAATAATTCCCTATAACAACTTCCTTGACATGCTGTCAGGATGGCCTGTTTCCAAGGTAATGGCTGATGCCTGGGGACATAATAGACATCATCTGTGGCCTTCCAGAGATACAGTCGCCAGAACGACCCTGCTGCATTGTTGGAACACAGTCATTCATCCATTCACAGCTATGGCAACTAAACTGGGCCCCGCGTGACACACTCCGCAGCCTCCAGTTGATTCTACACCATAAGGTTGTTCATTTTTTCTGTAAGTGTGGGGTCACAAACTCCAATATCTGAGGGAGTCCGTTGACATAAATGACCGAATCAGTGTGGGTGGCAACAGGGAGTCCCTGCCGGCTCACAGAGGGGCCACGTGTAGCTCTAGCTCCTGCTGCTCTGGAACAGAGTTCTTTGGGGATCTCTGCTGGCTGAAATAAATCCACAAACCATGATGGCCCGAGTATGGAGTTATATCCTCTCCCCCAGAACTGACGTCCACCAGGAACCTCAGAATATGACCTTATTTGGAAATTGGGTCTTTGAGATGTAATTAGTTAAATTAAGGTGAGGTCAGTCTGGATTAGAGTGAGCCCTAAATTCAACAACTGGACGACCGAGAGAAACAAACTCAGAGACAGCAGAACCCTGTGAGTACACAGAGGCAGAGACCAGAATGACGTCATCTATAAGGCAGGGGGTGCCAAGGACTGTCTACTACTGAAAGCTGGAACAGAGGCATGGAACCCCCTGGCTGAAGAATGGATGGGCTCTAGGACTTTTTTTCTTCTTTCTAATTTTTTAAAAATTATTATTTTACTTGCAAAAGAGCAAAAAGCTTTCAAAGAACCAAGGGAAACATGCTTATGGACCTCTCAATGAACCACAGGGCCCCAAGTCTACTCCAGCCTCTTTATCTACTCTACATTGTAGCCAGAAGGATGTTTTGAAAACTCAAATCAGACAATGTCACTCATCTCCCTGAAATCCCTTAATGATACCCTTCTACTTTTCTAAAGAAGATGAAAATCATTACCATGGCTCATAAGATCCTACAGTATCTGGTCCTTGTTTCCCCCACCCCCTGTTTTAGTCTAACTGGACTCCTCTAGTGTCTCTACTCCTTGTGTGCTCTTCACCTCAGGACATTCGCACATGCTCTTATCTCTTCCTTAAACATCTCCCCCACCCCTCACCCCCCCCACACACACACACAAGTCACACATACACATCCATGTGTTCACACATACATACCCTCTTCATCTGGTAAATGGCTTCAGCTCTTAGGTCAGTCATCATTTCTTCAGAAAAACTTTCCCTGACTCCTCATCCAAAATTAGGGTAGTCCCTTTCAGACGTTGTCATGGTGCCACACATTTTACAAACCAAGCACCTTCCTCCAAATGTGTGTGAACACCCCTACTAGACTGTGAGTGCCATCCTTCATACCTAGCACGTGCCTGCCATATAGTACGGCCCCACAGGAGGGGGTCCAGTGCTGTCTCTCCAGGGAATTGCATGCTTGAAATGTTCTCTACAGTTCTTCCAACCCAGTCCTGGTTTGTACTTTCTCACAGTTACATTTCCATTTTGCACTGTTCTCTGATAGTCACGTCTGTTTAAATCTTCTGACTGTTGGCCACACTGCGGGCAGTGATTATACTATGTGTGTCACAGCATTATCCAATGTGTAGTATGGGTCCTGGTCACACTTAAGGATTTGTTGGGTTCTTAAAGACATAGTCTAAAACTTTTCATTTTAATAATGGTAAGAAGGCCTTATACAGTTGTATGGGCAGAGAACGAGGCACAATACTCAGGCTGGACTCTGAATTCTGAAACCTGGGTTTGAATCCCCTTAGTGCCAGGCACAAGTCAGGGTTGAATAGTTTTAGGCAGGAGGGCTACCTTTTTGCAAGTCTAACTTGACTTTTCTGGAAACCTTCATTAAAAATGCCAGATTTTCATTCTCAACACTAACTAACTAAATGAATAAAATAAAATGCCAGATTTTCTACTGCATGGATTCCCGTCTCTTATAAATACCTTGCTCAGATGGGTCTAAACTCCAAATCTTACTGGTCATTCTCAGATGGGGCAATCCCTCACCCCCAAAGAAATCTGATGATGTTCAGAGACATTTTTAAATTGTGACTACCTGAGCTGGGAAGGGCAGAAGGATGTCTATTGGCCTCATAGGTAGACCAAGGATGCTGCCAAACATCCTTCAATGCCCTGCCCACACCCCATCAAAAAATAAATAAAAATAAAAATAAAATAAATTTAAAATGTGTATATATATCTCACAATTGTGCCACGGTTGAGAAACCCAGTTATAGACCACTGCAATTCACCACACCAAGAGTCCTGGATTTACATTCACAGACATCAAGTTACAAGTTTGGATCCCTCAGTCCCCGTGGCATTTCAATTTGCCTTTCTTTCAAAAGAGCTTTTCAACAATAACCAACGGGTTTTAAAACTTCATAGAACACAAAGAAGTATGCCCTGATCCAGACTAAATCTTTCATCTCTTCCATCCAGGCCCTGGAATTCCCAGTTTGGATCATTGACTTTCCAAAGGACACTGGCACCTGCGGGCTGGCAGGGTACCCCCAGGAGATGAGTTGTGCTTGTTTGTGGTGGGCGCTTCTGGAGTGAGTGGAGCACAGGAAGGACAAAACCTTCATCCAAACCAGGGTGTGCGCCGAGATGGCCTCCACTGTCATCTAAAGCTGTTCAGCCTTGTGGGACTGGGAACGCCACCCCTCCGTGCTCTGAGCTACTGCCACCAGGGAGAACCGTCACCCACCACACACGTGCTCATTCTTTCCCTCTGCCGGTGGGAACTCAGCCTCCGAGCATTGGAAAATGAGGTTTCCAGGGCTTTCTCTGCCCTCCACCACTGCTGCTTATAAGTTGGGGGTCTGTAAATGATCATCCATTCCCCCCTCCCCACCTGGCTTTCATACCACAAGGAAAAGGAAGAGCACCATGAAGGATCCCTTTGGAAAGTTACTGACTTTGCCACTGTCCCCAAATTTCTGAACGTATTTATCTGTTCAGATTTATGTCCTTTCCTATCTACCATCCTGGAAGCTGGAACAGCTCCTTCTGTCCTCCTGGTGTCCAGCCTCCTGTGCCCCTGACGCTCCTGCTCTCCTCCTTTGCCCGCCCAGCTCCTCTTAGACTTGGTTCTGTTGTTCATTCCTCTGTGTTACATTGCTATGGCCTCCCTCTCACCACCAGTTTCCTTCTTCCAGGAATGGGAGGTGTCTAGATCTTTCTCATCCTACAATGGACCATTCTCTGACCCCACAACTTCTCTGGCTTCCACCCAAACTTTCTCCTCCGTTTTTTGCCTAAGTAGCCTATGAGGACTGAGCTAACTTACTTCTTGTCTTAGTCAGCTTTATTGCTGCTGTAACTAAAGAACCCAACCCGAACAACTGTAAAGGAAAAAAGGTTCATTTCGGGGCTCACCGTTTCAGAGGTCTTAGTCCATAGAGAAAGCTGGCTCCATTCCTTGGGGCTCAAGGTGAGGCTGAACTTCATGGCGGAAGAGTGTGGTGGAGGGAAGCAGCTCACATGATGATCAGAAGGAAGAGGATGCGGGGTGGGGAGGGAAAGAGAGAGAGAATTCAGTCGTCAGATACAAAATATATACTCCATAGCCACGCCCCCAATGAACCCCTTCCTCTAGCCGCACCCCACCTGCCTCCAGTTACCACTCAGCTAATCCCATCAGAGATTAATTCACTGATCAGGTAAAGGCTATAAGCCAATCATTTCTCCTCCAAACCTTCTGGCATGGTCTCCCACGTGAGCTTTTGGGGGACACCTCACATCTAAACCATGACACCTTTCATCCTTACTAAACCCACCATCCCCAGGCTTCTTCCCTCACAAGGCCATGAAGCGAGGCTCCTCAGAGTACTCACAACTCATCTCCCGGAGACTTGTCCCTTTTGAATCCTTCTCTCCCTGCACTGCTGCTGCATTGCCTGATGAGCACTGCCTGCAACTCCAACCCTCCTGGCTCTTGACACTTCAAGTTCTGCTTCCACCCCAGTTTCTTCTGTTTTATCTCCTGCATGGAGTTCCCTTCCTCCGTATCTAAAAAAAACAATACCTCCATGACCCATTTCTCATGCCACCTCCTAAACACCAGTGGCTCCCAGATGTTCATCTGCAGCTCAGCCCTCTTCCCCCGACATTTTAAGCAAAAGTGTCAGATGGAAATGCCATCAAGGGCCAGGCAGGGAAAGTCAGTGAAGGAAAATGATGGTAGAAATTGAAGGCTAAAGGTAGGCATGGGAGGGGCGGCTGCTCCTGTGCTCCAGCCGGTTGTCCACATGCAGGAATTCAGGACCAGAGGTGCCAGATTTTCCAATTTTCCCCAAAGTCAGAAACCCATAATCCTATTTGGAATCTCTCAAAGATTAAATATTGGTTCAAAGAATTTTAAATGTCTCTTAGGACCAAAGTCTGTCTGAGAACCATGTCTGACTATGGACCACCAGTCAGGGATAATGGATGGACTCATATATTCTACTGAGTGCCACTACCTTCATTCTGATGCTCGAAGGCACTTTAAACTGGACCCGCCCCAGACTATCTTTCCTCCAAACCCTCCTCTCCTCCTCCTGTGCACCTTATCTCAATTAGTGATGTCTTGTATCCACTCATCCAAGCCAGAAATATGAAAGCATGAATCCCCCTCTCTTCCTTTTCTTCATCTTCCATATTCATCGACATTACTTTCTAAATAAGTCTTGACTCTGTTTCTAGCTCTCTGTCTCTAATCAGCATAGAAACCCTTGCAAGGGTTTCTAGGGATGGTCTATCACACTTGACTCTCCCCGTGTATAAAGTATTATTCTGAGCAAAGCACATAACCTTATTTCCTTGACAGTGATTGGTTTCAGGATGGGCCAATGACCTAGTGGGGCCCCGTGGGATGAGAGGGGAAGTTTGCTGGAAAGCTACTGGAAAATTTTTCCTTGCTAAGAAAGCCACACATAGAAGAAACGACTTCCTTCTGTACATGGTCATCGCTGTCTGGATATTGTTCAGGGAACGGCTGCAGCTAGCTTCTGAAGATGAGGAAAGGCAGCCTGCAGGCAGAGCCCACCATAGAGAGGGAATGGGGAGATAGCGGCATGGAGCCTGGGAGCAGTGACTCTGCTGAGGCACTGAATCGGCCACCTCTGCTCTCTCTCATCTCGGAGCTTATAGCTCCACTGGTTGTCTCTTGATGATTCGGCCAATAGGAATCAGGGCTTTATGATTACAGAAGCCAAAAGCATCCTGGCTGGTACCCTTGTCTCCTGCCTCCAAGCTAATGCGCCATCACTTCACGTGACACCTGACTGCCAGGGTGGTCCCTTCCGATGCTAATCTGACTGCATAGCCTTCTGCTCTTGGTTCCCAGTGCCTACAGGATAAAGTCCCGGGACCTTGGCAGAATACACAAAGGCTTCCATGCCTAGGCTCCTGCCTCTGCAGCTGAATCGAGTTCCCCTCCTTAATGCAAACCTTACGCTCCCTTTGGTCTGATCTGCTTGTAGTTCCCTGCATAGATGATGCTGTTTAACTCTTTCATTCATTGCACAATACATACAAGAGTCAACTCTGCCAGGAGCAGCTCAATGCATGGGGATACAGAAGGAAATAAGACAGATGAGGTCTCTGCCTTACTGAACGTTCCAGCCACTGTCCCCAAATCCACAGCATTAGCTAACCCTTCTCTCTGGAGCACCTTTCCCTCTATCTAACACCTACCTTTCTTTTCTTTCTTCAGTCCAGTGTTTAGCCTTTGAGATGTATTTTTATATAGGTATTTAAAATTGTTTCCCAAATGTTTCTCATACATAAAGAATAGTATGTTCCTATAACTTCACCTAGATTCACTAATTATATTTGTTCTCTCCTCCCATATGCATACGCACACACACATCTCTTTCCAAAGAATCTAAAAGTAACTTATTGATATTATGACTCCTTATCCACAACCAGTTCAGCATGTCTCAAGGATAAGGATGCTGTCTTAGATAACCGTAATGCCATCATCAGCCACTCCAGATTAGGAACATACAATAGTTTATCTAATATGTAATCTAGATTCAAATTTTCTCAATTAGACCAAATATGCTTATGGATATTTTCCCCACCAGAATCTGACTTCTGATCTAAGTTCTCATTTCTTTCAGGAGCCTTCTTTGACCTCTTTCCACTGCTCACCACTGGATGCATCTAGAATGCCCCGTGCAGATTTGCTCTTACAGTATTAACCACATTGGTCAAGACAGTTAGTTAGATGGAATCCCATGCCATGCTCATCTCTGTATGCTCAATGCCTATTGCAGTGTGTGTGGCACGTAGTAGGTGCTCAGCACTTTTTGGCTGATGAGTGATTAAATAAATGACTGAAATGGAGACAAAGGCTGTGGTCTCGCTGCTGTTTTCTTGATTCCATATTTAGCTGCTTTTTACAGCCACTGATGTTAATAATGTAAGAGCAGAAAGTCCCATCTGTCAAATGGTGAGGAGAGGTAATCCAGATAGATAATTGTGACAATGGCAAGCAGCAACAATTAATGATATCCAGGGCCATGCTCATAGAGAGGCCTAACCCAGATATCTAAGAGCTTTAGTGGAGAAAAGCTACAGTCTTCTTACAGTTGTTGCAAATCTCTATCCTATGCACTATTCTATCTTCTAACCAGAAACCAGGACGGCTTCCGAGCAAAATGAAGAACAAACCCCACCTCTACCTAGAGCCATACTTTCTGGCAGAAGAAATGTGTCAGCACCTGTGGGGGGGAGGGGGAGCAGGTAATGATACCAGGGAAAGGGTCCCTTAACATTTCTTCCCTCTACAGGTCTCAAGTTAGAACAGTTGAGAACCATAGAGGGAAAGACTCGTTTTAAGTCAATAGCTGATACCATAATTAATATTTGGATCCAAATAATATGTCCATTCAACTGATGGCCATTCTCTCACCAAGGAGAGTATAGAAGCAGGATCAGGACCAACCAGGTCCCTCAGAAAGCCACTGGCCATTTGTGAGGAGTGGCCACTTGCTCTCTTCCCTACAGGACACATTTTTCTTTTCCAATTGGCCACAATGTATTTTACTTGATCTCTTAAGATTCCTGGGTCCACTAGGAAGATTTACTTTTTTTTTTTTAATCTTCATAAGCCATTGAAACACACAGGTGTGCACAGTCTTCCCAGCTACCACGGGGCCTGATTTTAAGATAAAATCACCCAACCATCACACTCTCCAGCTGGGAACAGCCCAGGCACCTATTAACCATCAGGCACTGTGGATTCAAAAGTAAATATGCCGTCCCTCAAGGAGCTCAACATCCCCTGGCACAATGACTCTTAGAATTAATGAAGAATGCAATGGTAGAGATATGTGCAGTACACTAGAGACCTCAGAGGAAGGACACCCTCCCAGCTTGGGAAAAGTGGGTCAAGAAAGAGCTGACTGGTGAAGGCAGGCTGAAGATGGATAGAAATGAGAGAGGCAGATTAGGGGACATGCTAGAACGAGGCACAGAAGGAGGCAATAATGGGAATGCTCATCATCTTAGTGAATGTGGGGACAAAGTGGCCATTGGCCATATGTTGAGATGAGCCCCATGGTTTTGATAACGCACTAGCACTAGAAGGCCAAAGGCTATCTCTAACTTGCGTCCCTGGCTTTGGATGATCCTTTTAACAGGACTCCCACCAAGGGTTAAAGGTGGAAGACATCCCCTGCACCCCCCCACGCCCCCCCCCCAAAAAAAAAAAAAAAACGAGGGAAGGTAATTATACCACCATCTATTTAGCTGCTAAAGAATTTACCATTCAAGGAGATAGGACCCTGCCTCACCAGAGGCGTTTAACAGTCCAACACTATCACATTACCCAGATTGTATAAAGAGCATGAATGATTTCCGCTCGCAGACCTCTAATGGAGGTGTCTCTTTACAAAGCCCCTGCTTCAGGCCAGCTGAATGCCTCAGCAGTGCCTCCGAGATCCCGCAGTCCTAATCCCTTTAGCAACAAAGATCTGTTTCTTTGCTTAGCATGAAGTAGGCCTCAGAGGCCTGTGTGTGTCTTCGCCTGTAGGCCAGAAGCCTCCTGTTTACAATTTCCCTATTCCTGTTTTTAATGTTGTTCTGAGAGCAGCCACAAAGGGCTAGTTTTGTCCAGCAGGAACAAGGGAGCTATTAGAGAGAGACGGAGGAAGGAAGGAAGGGAGATCGCAGGAGGACTCCTCGAGGGATTAGCAGACACAGCTGTTCCCGAAGGGAGAGGAGCTTGAGGCTGTTTATAATTTCCGTCACATTTACATTTTTTAATATTTTATTTCCTTAATTTTTTTTTTCTGATCAGTTTCCTGTCCACCATTGAGAGCATGCGTCTTGCTGCCATATTGGCAGACAGAGGGTACCTGTTTCCACCTATCTGGGTCATCTTGAGTGCTTTGCTTTAGTGCTCTGCTGCTTTGGTTTGGTGGTGTCTGGCTTTGGGGGAGGTCACAGACCTCTAGACCACCAGGTGCCTGAGGAAATCAATCATTAAAAAGAACGGTCCCACTCCTTATCCCATTTGTGCGCTTGCCGGGAATTCTCTAAACTGTATCCAATTCATTCAGATCCCATAGACATCTGTCTTTGCAGGGTCTCAAACCTGCTTTTAAAATGCATCTCATTTTTGTTTGCTGTTACGTATCTAACCAGTGTGTTGTTAAAGGTATTTACTGCAGGTAGAGGATCAGATAAGATTCCATATTTGGAAGATGCCTTATAACAATTGCTTTAAGAAAATTATGTATGGTTGCATCCTGCAAACAAATCACTTGTGTCACTTTCTGATTCTTGTCTATGTATATATTCAATTTTTGCACATTTGTAATAAAATCATAGGCTGGGCATGGTGGTGCACACCTGTCGTTCCAGCTACTGAAGAGGCTGAGGTGGGAGGATTGCTTGAGCCCCACAAGTTCACCATCAGCCTGGGCAACACAGCAAGACCCCATCTTTTTTTTCCTTCTTTCTCTCTCTTTTTAAAAAAGATAAACATGACAGTAGACTATATTTTGACATATTATACA